TGGAAACGCAGCTGGGCCTGCCCGCACCACGAACTAATTCGAAATTGGCAGAGCATCTTAAATTTAATATTCATAAGCTGACGGAGGCAAAGGAGGCCGCACGGCTTAATTCGCGGGCTCGCCAAATTGCGAATGAGCGGTTGCGTGCACGGAAGGTGTTTGTGCACAACTGGGAACCAGGTGACAGGGCCTGGCTGCATTGCCCTCAGGCACCTTTGGCTACGTCGCCTAAATTGTTGAAGCCGTGGCGGGGACCCGTGGAGGTCGTGCGGGTTGCACGCCCCCAGTGCGTTCAGATAAAATGGGGAAAGCGCCGTTGGTACGTCCACCCCTCCCGACTGAAACCGTTCTCGCCTCCATATGGCCTCCCCTTGTGTCGTGAGGGCCGAGCATGTGACGTGACCGACGACCCTAAGGGGGAAATGTCTTTGCCTGATCCTCACATGTCTCCGCCTGATCCGCTCCCAGGTGTCTCGGAACTGACATCTGCCGACCACCGGCGGCCAGATCTGCGCGGCGGGGCCGGTCCTTCCAGGCCCGATCCGCGCCGTCTAGAGCTGCCGGAGCCACCGGACGGTCGTCAGCGTCCCGTCCCATACGACGGACCGGCCAGACGGACTCGCGCTAGGTCGCGCTACTTTTCATGACCTACCACGTGAGGAGTCGAGGCAGCCGGAGCGCCTCGTCACTGCGTTTAGTCACAGGGACATTTGGCGCGTTCGTTTTTTGGAGTTCGCTTTTATTGTGTTGTTCGTCGGGCTGTACATTGCTTCTTATTTAAGTGTTGCTGTTGTGTTGTTGTTGTTGCGTTACGGGGCACACTGGGGGGTGGGGTTTTTATTATTGCGTTGACGTTGGGTTGTGTTGTTGGTTAGCAGCCGGGCCGGCTGCGAGCTATGTGGGAGGGGGTGATGTAGTGGTGATACGCGCTGGGGTAGGGATCGTGTGCCAGCGCGTAGTGATTGGCTGTGTATGTGGTGACGCGCGCTGACGGTGGAGGATCAGGGGTCAGTGCGGGGTCGTGGGTTACGTGGTGCTGATTGGCTGTGTGCCGGTGACGCGCTGAGAGGGAGTGATCGGGTGGCAGCGCGGTGTGATTGGTTGAGTAGTATTAACACGCGCTGGGGAAAACGGATCGTAGAGATAGCGCGTCGTCATTGGTTAACTAAGGAGTGATGCTCACGTCGACGTCCGCATCAGCTCCGTCTCCCGTGAGCAGGGGCTATAAAAGGGGATGCACACAGGCGTAAAGACAGTATGTAACAAGCGAAGACTGAAGACGGGGATGAAGAGATAGGGCCCTGCGGTACCTAGTCCCGCTGTCCTAACGGGACCGGGACTCTGTGTAACCCAGAGGCGAATGCATTGGGTGTAGCCATAGGCATAGGGTCTACACGAGTCGAATGCATGGTGTGTAGCCAGAGGCATAGGGTCTACACGAGTTAAGTGAAGTGTGTGTAGCCAGAGGCATAGGGTCTACACGAGTTAAGTGGAGTGTATAGTGAGAAGAATAGAGACCACACGTTGTATTGTGACACGTCAAGATTTAATAAAAGTGTGTTACCCGTCAAGAAGTTCCTGCCGTCATTTCCAATACTTCACTTGTAAGGGCCGGGACACTGTGAGGGCCAGTGGTGGGACTCTGGGACTCCCGGCTCTACGTCCTTGTAAGGGCGAGTTCCGAGGAAGCCAGAGTCCAGACCCGCACCTTGGCTGGGTCGGGTCAATTAGCCTCCCCTACGGTAATTACAGCCGGAGGACCCCAGAGCGTAGCCAGAGTAGTGTATCTAGGCTGTGTACCTAGGCTGTAACAGAGTATCAGGACTGTTGGAGTGTTCTATTGTAATAAAGAAGATACCTCTACAAGTGTCTCCGGAACCCATTACACATGCTTTCCTAAAAGGCCGTGGTATTTATAGTTTGTGTAAAACATTCCTTTGTTTCGTGTAGAGAACGTTCAATGAAAGATGTCTGCCGATCTGTTTTTTCGCAAGGAGGTACTTTAAAGAGCACATTTGAAGGCATCGTGGATTTTTGTTACAGATTTGTATTCTAGCCTAGGTTTTATTGAAGCTTAACTTCTATTTAAATAAAACTTTAGATATATCTGTCTGCATTGATATCCCACCTTGTTTACCACATGTTTACTTAAATATGTAGACGCTCCCTCTGAAGACGTCACCTCAAATTAACGAGTGGGTTACGTCAGGGCCTCCCCCTTTCTCTGGCTTGTGATGTCACCAAGAGCAGAACTCGCCTCTACGGAATCTAACGACTGCACTGTCTTGGAATGCATTTACACAGTAATCAAATCTTCACAACTGCCAGGGAACACACATTAAAAACCACTTAATGTACACTTGGAAGGCATTTTGAATTGTCTTGAAACTGAAACACGCGTAAGGAGGTCTACAAGGAGCAGGGTCTGAGATTGACGTGTGAAATTTGAAGTTCCATAAGCCCATCGTTTGTGATTCAAGGACCCAATAAAGATGGCAGCTGGGAAACGTCACCATAAGTGAAGGTGACCTGTGAAGGCTCCAGGGTTTGACTTCCAGGCCGCTAATAGAGCCCGAGACGAATCACAGCCATTTGTGGATGTGGAGGTTTTGGAGGACTTTTCGGACAATGTAGAGAGTAGAAGCAGACAGAATGTGTGACCATAAGTGTTGGGTAGACCTGTAACCAAAAGCATGAGACACGGTTTCCCAATGTTTATTTCAATTGTTTAGTTTTTAGTTGATTTGGAATACAGTACTTATTTCAATTGTGATGTAAATTTTAGTTGACGATTACCTAACGCCATTACTTGGGTAAGGCTTAAGTATTGAATATCGCGTTTTTAGCTGTCGCGTGGCACTTTCCAAGAACGTAACCTCCGATATTCAAGGGGCGGCTGTATTTTCTGTCGATCGAGTACAGCAAGGGAGTACGGATTTTTACTAGAAACTAGATCTCTGCTTTCTTGATGTTATTAAGGCCTATGGTACCATAAAGAGGCTTGGTGCTTTGGGTTCCTTGATTTCGATGTCTCTGCCTCTGCTCACATTCGTTGAGGATTTTTATGATTTTGGGCAGGCCCATCTAAAGGTGCGTGACCAGGAGTTGGAACCATTTCCTGTTCAACTCGGCTTGTGGCAGAAATTCACTCTGGCCCAATGCATTACATTTGTAATGTGAGGTTACACCTGGATAATAACGATGGGCTCTGCCGGCCTCAGCCTGCAACCAATGGGGAGTCGAGTTAGGGGCGTGGCCCTGGAGCCGTACATTAGCTTCGGGAAAGTTCCAGGGGTGTGGCTGAGGATTGGCTGCGGGGCATCACGTGGGCCAGGGATTTAAAGGAGCGGAGAAGCCACGCTGGTGCCGTGGTCCGGAGCCTGCCACGTGGCGGGCCGCCGCAGTCTCTCTCTCACGCTGTCAGCCAACAGCGTGAAGGAGCAAGGGAACTGGAGGAACGAATGTGGTGGAAGCTGTGAACGAAACTGAATAAAGAATTCTCAATTGACGACGTCTCAACGGGGTTTATTACACATTACATAGCATGTTCAATAATTATGTAGTTTGAGGAGCTCACAATGGCCGTATAAATAAATTGCATTCGTCGCGGTTAAAAATAATATGTTTATCGATGACTGGTTATAGTTAAGGGATTATACTGGTAGGAACGAAGTGAACCAGCCTACAATAGATTACATCGTCCGTCCGTCCGATTACGTGTAGCAACATCGCCCCCTACTGCAAACACTTGGCAGGACCCTACAAAAACCTTTAGACTCAGTGAGGCTTTCCTGGCTAAACAAGTGTAACATTCCCTTATAATTACCTGAGATAGTTTAAAATTAACTCACAGCGGCCTAAAGCCTACAGCTAGGCCTAAAGCCTAGAACTAGGCCTCAAACTCTCCCTTCGTATCGTACCCCCGCCGTTTCATTTTATTATAGCCATTCATTTGTTCGTTCCTACCAGCCCACGCCGCAGGGACCTGTTTCCCTGCTGGTCAGCCCTGTTGCATCTGCTGATGATCTGGTAATGGCTACTCAATGAGATGGCTGGCTGAGGTGCCATTTCTTGTTTTGCCGGACACACATTAACAATAACAACAACCGCCATTCGCCACTAAGTGGCGGTCACGTCACCATGGCGCTTGTGCCAGGCTATGTGCACGGGGTAGACCTAGGTGCCATGGGTCGACTGACTCAGTTGACTGGCCGATGCACCATCTGTACCCCCGACTGTGCCAACACAGTGTACACACACACACACACAGTTTGTACACACAGTGTACACGCACAGTGTACACACACACAGTGTACACGCACAGGGTACACACACAGTTTGTACACACAGTGTACACACACAGTTTGTACACACAGTGTACACACACACAGTGTACACGCACACAGTGTATACACACAGTGTACACGCACAGAGTACACACACACAGTTTGTACACAGTTTGTACACACAGTGTATACACACAGTGTACACGCACACAGTGTATACACACAGTGTACACACACAGTGTACACGCACACAGTGTATACACACAGTGTACAAGCACAGTGTACACACACACAGTGACGTCACCACTCATTAACTCGTCGGCGTGAGACGCCAGGGAAAGCTGTTCCCCGCTAGTGACGTCATGTCACCAAGATATTCAATCCCACCCCCTCCACCGCGCGTTTTATTGGCGGTTCATTAACATAATTTATTCATAAAAAACCGTCGCTATTTCATTGCGACGGGTTCAGCAGCCAAGCCCAATCACCCCACGTGGGCCCGGCTTATTAACATAATTTATTCAATTACACCGCTGCTCGTTGGGGGAGGGATTGTGTGATGAACCCCGCCAGTGACGTCATGTCACCTCCTGCTGCTGCGTGACGTCACGACATATCCGGAAGCTGCTGCACCGCGCGCGCGCTCACTGAGATCCGAGGTGAGAAGTTGACATCGTGGTGGTTGTTGTTGTTGTTGTGGTGGTTGTTGTTGTTGTTTACCCAGGTAGAGCCTCGCTCCGTCTCTCTCTCGTAGGGATATCAATTGAGTAGCAGCGAGGATGGAATCGATGTCCAGGTTGGAACATTACAACGCGGGGCCTAGCCATGCGGGGCCTTGCCTCCTGCCCTCGCCTAATTGCATTTGCTATAATTCTCTGCTTAAGTTTAATTTGTCTTCATCTGGCTCACTACTTTGAAACTTTGTTTCTTTTAAATATTTCAACAGTTTTTTTTATCTTACCAGGCCAAGCCCACTTCAGCTGCTATACCGCTCTTGTTTTCTGAAGCGACCAGCCCACAACAAAGTGGCTTATCAACGTGTGGAAATGTCTGTCGGTCAAATACTCTAAACGCGTGGTGATGTTGACTCTAAATGTGGAGGGGAAAACCCTGAGGATCCGGAGGAAAATCCACGCGACCACGGGGAGAGAGAGAGACACGCAAACTCCAAATATACGTCCTTAATACAGGTTTGTTTGGGTTAGGTCGCGTAAAAATAGAAATGTGTTGGTAAACCCGACAGCCAATTAGGAAGGGGTTGTCACATAAACAGCACGTGGCCAATTCGTCACTAGTGCAGCACTACACCGGTTGTGTGTTGGAGAGCCAAGCCACAACATTTACAATCTGAGTACGACGTTTCGCCAGTAATTACAACCAGCTTCAGCAGGCGACAACCAAATGCTGTGGCTTGGCTGTGTGGAAATATAAATCGGCTCACTGGGATTATAGCTCGGCATGCTAAGCGTTGCACTACCGCTCCCCACTCACGCACAAACATCATTGAAAGTATATTGATCAAACATGAGTAATGTCTTGCCATGCTGGCTTTGTTAGAATAATTGATTTCTGACAATGAAGTAGGTAAATGTGTTTTTTGTAACGGTTCTTCGGTTGTGTTATACAATCGCAGGGCTTGTTTGTTTAATAATTAGAGCAGCTTTTAAATCGTTGCCCTTGGAGAGTTTCAGGATAGACATTGTTGGATGTATTCCCATCTGATGGGTTTAATTGAATGAAGCTTAAATGTTGGCATACATGTCGACAGCAAATTGGTGAAAGAGCTCTTTGCATCTCAAGAAGATATTGAAGCCGCCGTTTCATATCATGATCCTGAAGGCAAAGACCTCCATGGCGGAAATCTTATGTTTTTTTGGCAAGCCTGTTGCTGGGTCAGTTTGGCGGAGTAGGAAATGGTAGCCATCATCACCTTGCAGGGTTTGCATCTTGGTGTTGATGACATTGTTGCAATGCTGGTGGGCCTGTCTAGTATTGTCAGACATGCAAGGAGATCTGTGAGAACAAATATAGCAGTGCAGTGGAGACACTTATGTTATGGTGAGTGCGTGGAATTGTAGTAGATAAAATGTCAAAATGAGTTTGCATGTGTGGCAAACCGAAAGTATTGAGAATGCCCCGGACTTTAACACATGGCAAGAGAAAGCGAGGGGGGGAGGTGAGGAGCCGTGGGGGGGGGGGGGGTGTGCAGGTGGTATAGGTGTTGAAGGTGAGAAGGTAAGCAAAAAATTGTGCCAAAAACACACTAACTCACCCGTGAGTGTGCGTGGAAAGTTTGGGGTGTGTTGGCGCAATTTGGTTCACAAAAAAGCTACACAAGCGCAAAGTCTGCTTTATCTTCATAGATTTATACTATACAATTTTTCGTCTTGGAATACTTTTTGTATACGGTGTCTTCTTTATTTCAATTGTATAATTTATTTGGAATACAGTACAATACTTAAATTTAGTTGACGTTTACTTAACGCCATTACTTAGGTAAGGCTTAAGTATTGAATGTCGCCCTTTTAGCTTTCGAGTGGCAATTTCCAAGAATGTAACATCCATGGTAACCTAGGGGCTGCTGTATTTTCTGTCTATTGACTACAGCAGAGGCTTACGAATTTTCAACATAAACTAAATCTCTGCATTCTTAATTAAATTAAGGCCTATAGTACTATTAAGAGGCTTGGGGATTTGGGTTGTTATTTGTATTCATATCTATGCCTCTGCTCACATTTGAGGATTTGTTTGATTTTGGGCAAGATGGTCTAACGCTGCGTGACCAGGATTCCGAGCCATTTCCTGTTCAACATGGCTTGTGACAGAAATTCACTCTGGCCCCATGCATTACATTACATAGCATATTCAATAACTATGTAGTTTGAGAAGCTCCCAAAAGTCATATACAAACCATTGCATTTGTTGCGGTTACAATGATACGCTAATCAATGCCTGGTTATAGTTAAAAGATCGCTACTTAGTGAGATGGAATTAGGGAATCTTGTTCTGTGCCTTGATAATTCCATCATGAAATGGGGCTTTGCAAATGTTCCACAAAAATAAATGACCTGCCTGGGAATTTCATGTCGTACAACACTGCACCTGCTCAACTCTACAAGTGGTGGAGGAGCTCCCATACCTGGTTAATGTGTTCACGACCAGCTCTGGTTTGGCAGCCAAAGTCTCATATAAAATTAGTTGAGCAGCATTATTTCATTAGACTGTAACACTGTGTGGAATGTGCCTGGACTTTTGCTCCGAACAAAGCTTTGAGTGTCTGTCGCCAATGTCTAGTCCATCTGAGACCATCCCTCTCCCTGCCATACTGGCATCGCACCCGTCCCTCACCCTTCATCCTGTGGATGTTCGACACACAGGATGGCACCACTTGGCTAATTCGAGTTGGCCTGACTGAGTTGCTTGGGTCACACAGCCACGAGGCGCTTGTTTTGTGAACACAACCCCTGGGCCTGGCTCTATGGGTGATATCAATATAGAATATAAGAATGCCCCCCAATAGACTCCCCCTGGAACTCTACCAGACACGTCCCACTGGGCGAAGACCCCGAGGCTTGCCCAAGACTATGTCGCTGGGCTGGCCTGGGAACACTTTGGAATTCCCCAGGATGAGCTAGAGTCTGTCACCAGGGAAAGGAAGACCTGGACCACCCTACTCAGCATGCTGCCACCACGACCCTCACCAGGACAAGCGTTTTCAGAAACTAACGAACACAGCTGTGATTCTTCTAGTTTTACCCGGGCCCGCTCACCATCATGAAGGTCCTTAATGATCGTGAGCAGAGGGTCAGGGACTCCGAAATCACGAAAAACAACCCAGAGCCCAGGCCTACTGATGGTATCATAGGCCTTGACCAGGTCAATAAAGCAGAGATGTAGGTCTTGTTGGAATTACCTACACCTCTGCTGTAGCAGACTGACAGAAAATATGGCATCTGTGCAGGACCGCCCTTTCCTGAAACCGCATTGGTGCTCTGCAAGCCTCTCCTCGGCGTGCCTAGCAAGGCGATGTTGAATAATCCTTGCCAGGACCTTCCCTGGCACACTGAGGAGTGAGATGCCCCTGTAGTTGTTACAGTCTGTGCGGACCCCCTTCTTAAAGAGGGGAACCACCAGGGCATCCTTCCAATCCTGCGGAACCCATTCAGTGGTCCTGACTGTTGTTATGATGTCATGTACAGTGAGGGAAAAAAGTATTTGATCCCCTGCTGATTTTGTACGTTTGCCCACTGACAAAGAAATCATCAGTCTATAGTTTTAAGAGTAGGTTTATTTGAACAGTGAGAGACAGAAATACAACAAAATCCAGAAAAACGTATGTCAAAATTTGTATAAATTGATTTGCATTTTAATGAGGGAAATAAGTATTTGACCCCCCTCTCAATCAGAAAGATTTCTGGCTCCCAGGTGTTTTTTATACAGGTAACGAGCTGAGATTAGGAGCACACTCTTAAAGGGAGTGCTCCTAATCTCAGCTTGTTACCTGTGTAATAGTGTTCCAGGAGACCTTGACACCGGGATTGGAGGCACACGTATATATTTCGTGTCGGTACAGTACAGCACTGACATACAACACTGGAGGGGGTATCGGCCCCCTCACCCGTCTAACTGGGGATACACTCTCTAGCTACGCCTAGCCTACCCCTGGGTCCTCCACTAACGGGCTAGGGGAGGCTAGCTTGCCCGACACTGGTAAGTCGGGCACACGGTACCCGGAGTCCCAGACCAGCTCTTACAAGAGCACCGGCTCTGGCTCTCGGGACCACGCCACTGGCTCGATCCTGTTCGGCCCTGATAAGGGCGGCGATCCAGGGGAGTCCAGGGCTCTATCTATGACGATCTTCGGTCTTCACTGGTTAGCTTCAACATCTCTCCCTGAGCCCTCCGGCTCATCCCCTTTTATACCAAAACCCCCGCTCCGAGTCAGCCCCCCAGGCTGCCCGATGCGGACGTCGCTGGGAGCACCTTCCCGTGCACCGACATAGCCACGCCCACTGTGTTTCTTTCCCATCTGATCCCATTGTATAACAGCTCCTCCGTAACACCCCTACATCACCCCCCCCTGTACAGCTCGCAGCCGTCCCGGCTGCAACAACCAACAATAAAAGTGTATTTACCCCTTGAACCCGCGTGTGCCTCACAATTTTTTCAACAATAACAGCAACAAGAACACCAACAAGAACCACAACAGCAAGAAGAGAAATAACCCGACGCACCCCCCCCCCCCCCGAATAAATACGAATTCCGTAAGAGCACCCCATATACGATTTGCAGGAAACCACACCACACACACAACACACAATGAACACAACATATATACAATCCAATTTGCAGGAAACCACACCACACACACAACACACAGTGAACACAACATATGTACAATCCTCCGGCATCACAAAAGTCTGCGCATTTTCGCGCGTGTTCTTGCAGCAGGCCCGTCACACGGGGCAGCCCCGGATGGCGGACTGTTGGGTGGCAACCGTCCGTGTCCGAGTGAGTCACTTTCCGTTGCCGCGTGACCCCCGGCATCCCCAGGAGGGGTTGTCGGGCGTGAGCCCGTCACTCCCGGTGCACCTGGGGGCGGGACAGCCGGCAGCACGTTAGGTGAGAGCAGCGGAGACGGACCCTGTGAGTCGGTTGACCCCCCACATGTCTGGCCACGCGTGTGTGAAGTGGGAACTCGGACCGCAACGAACGGTTTCAATCTGGAGGGGTGCACAAACCACCGCCGCTTCCCCCATTTGATGCATACACACTGAGGCCGCAAAACCTGAACCACCTCCACAGGGCCCCGCCACGGCCGCACCAGTTTAGAGGAGGTTGCAAGCGGTACCTGTGGACAGTGTAACCATGCCTTGTCACCCGGTTTCCACTGCAGTACGTGCGCCCGACCCAGCCTGAGCCGCAGCCTCCCGTGCCTCTGTTAATTTAGCAATATTGAATTTAACGTGGTCGGCCAATTTAGTTTTACCCCGCGGCGCGGAGATCTGCAGCTGGGTCTGAACAGGCGGGTCAGGTTCGCGGCCGTACATCAAGAAGAAGGGTGAAAATCCCATTGCCGCATGGGGAGCCATTCTATATGCTGCCAAGACCCCTTGAATTTGAAGGTCCCAATCGGTCTGTGAGTCCGAGACCTGTTGGGACAGCATCGACGTGATGGTTCGATGCAGAC